CCCTGTCAGTATAGTAAAAGGTGCAACAGATCAGACTTCAGACTATTTAATCAAATGCATCAGCTATTCAGGGTGAGGCACTACTGTCTATCCTCATGTAATGTTTCTCATGAAACCTACAGTTACAATTGTTTTGGTCACTTGGGGGCAGCCTTCTAAGTCGGTATAGCAAAACGGTTAACAAACATTTTTGTTATTGACACATTGAGCAAAAATGGGGCAATATTATTATTGTATATTATTATTATTATTATTATTATTATTATATATTATTATCATTATTCATGTTTCTGCCCCCCTGATGAAAACATTAAATCTATTTTAGCTCATTTTTTGCTCTCCAACTCCTGACTGTAATATCTGTGTCTCTAAATGCTCCTCTATGTTCACCAGCTAGCTGCTAACTGTGTCTGCATTCTGCCGGCAGCGGAGCAGGAAAACAGCTGTCACCAAAAAGACACTATTAGAGATACTGATCCAAATCAGTGTAGTTGCCGGACAGCTAAACAATGAGCTAAAACCCGGTAAGAACCTCCATAAAAGGGAGCTGCAGATTGGGTGGGATTGAACCCTTTCACAATATCATTTGATTCATTGATATTTAAAAAATGTAGTTCCTGGCCTCTTAAAGGTGAACTGCATTGATAGCTTTACCAAAATGTTGCTCTCTGGTGGCCTCAAAAACAATAATGATTACACTTTTCTCCTATCTTGTGTTAAGACTCAAAGCTTAAAACTTGTATGAATATTATTTGACTTGTGTGAGTCAATTAGTAAAGTATCATAATGTCTTTGCTTTGTGCACAGTGTGCTGTAATTCATGCTGTGCTTGACCTTCACAGACACACGTTTGTTATAATTTGTCGATCCACAGAACCTTAATTCAACAAACAATATAAGCAGGTAAAATTCTACCCACTCAAATGTGAATATTTCCTGGTTTCCTCGTGGCATTTTCACCTCGAATAAATCCCTTACTGTCTCTCTTATATAACATGTAGTGGAGGGCAAACAATAAATCAGTTAACTGAGAAAATAAATATTAAAAATGTATCCTTGACAATGATTTTTATGTAAGACACACACTTTCACATGTTCCCAGCAGCGATGTTTGGAGGACTGTAATTGGGTCCACAGCTTGCTCCGACCTCCATGAACTCAATGAAACTGTTACACAACTTGCACCACTGGCCTTCAAGTGATATCCTACGCCAAATCTCTATTTTAGGCAACACTCACTTGCTGTATGCTTGATGGGCGGTTAAATAGGACAGTTTCCTGCAGCTGTGAATATCTGGACGGTTACAACAGAACAAATCAAGCGCTAAAATGTACAAGGAGTGTATTTATTTAGCCACACTTTGTTGAAACACCATACTCTGTGTTTACTTACAAATAAAAAAACCTGCTTGGAAATGTACATGAAACATTTGCATCTTCATAGTTTCTAGTCTAGTATTTTAAGGTTTAATCACAAATTGCCTATGAAGGATTAGGAAAGATAATTATACTGACGACACGTTTCCTCAGTCCAGCACTGTAAGTCCCAAACTGTTTTAAATTCACAACTAGTGAACAACGAGCTGATGCTTTTTGTACCAAACATTTCTTCATTTATTTTTGGCTAACAAGCCGATTATTGAGAAACCGAAAGCAAAATGTTTTGCAGCAAACAATGACTGGTGCTTAACAGAGAATACCAAATCAACCAGCACTGTTAAGAGAACAACTGTTCGGAGGACATTATTATTACGGACTAAATAACCTGTGTATTCAGTAGGAATCTGTCAATAACACAGCTGTTTAGACCGGCACTAACTGGTCTGCAAACGTGATGCTGATGATCCTTTTATGTAAGAGGCAGAGAGAGAAAGACAGCCAGAGGAAGATAGACTGAGAAATAAGAGATACTGAGAAAGAGAAAGCTGTGGGTGTCAGGTTGAAATGAGATGTCAACACGCCAGCAGCAATCTCCCCTGAATGCTGAATACTGTACACTTAACCAGAAAAAGCATCAAGCAAAACAATGCACAACTATTGCACAACTAATTCCCTTTAACCCATGTCTTAAAGGGAACAAAAGTGTTCTCAATATGTTTTTTCCTGACTCTCCATCACCATTTGCTCCCCTTTGTTTCCACTCTCCTTTCTTCTCTCTTACTCCCTTTGATCCATCTGTTTTTTAAAACGTGTTCGCATAACAGCGCTGCATTCACATTTAATTCACAGAGGTCCTGGGGGTGAACCAAAGCATGTTTTAGACACAACTGCCATGCCACTTATCCACCCACCTATCGCTGACTGCAGAGCCTGACTGTGCCATGGAAACACACACTTCCTTTTCCGCGGATGTATGGGGTGTTAATATATATGCTTAAGGAGAAAGATTAACAACAACATAACAGTAAAGAATATTAGGGTCACCATTGCTAACCATTGGGATTGAACGCCTTTACAATGCAGAACAAGCACGATGGCAACAACATTGATAAACGTTGACACAAGCAGCGTCACATGCATGAATGCACCGACATGACTTGACAATCAGTGTCTCCAAATGAATCTTTCGGTCCACCAGCCACAGCCTGGTAAAGTAAAAATGAATTCTGTCAAAATTAATTGCACAATGAGTTGTTGAGCATTCATTTTAAACTTTCCCTCCCCTGCACTCTCATACAACCAGTGGAGTTTGTAATTCATCGTGGAGTCGAACCAAATCCAGAATTAAAAGACAGCATTTGGACGCCTACCTTCAAGAGCACACACACATATTAGGCATGATTTAAACCCTCTCTGTAACATTTGGAATATTTATATTTATCGGCGACTTTACTTTTATGCTACTTTATACTTTTACTCCACTACATGTTGCAGTTTTAACTTCATTACATTCATTTCATAGCTTTAGTTACATTACAGATTCAGATCCAAAATAAACAACTTATACATTATTAATGATGTATTATTACATATTAAACTATCCGTCAGTATAAGTTAAAAACAAGCTGTACCTTCACTATCTGCAACATTAAAGTGTTGAACGCATAAATGAATCAATAATTATAATCCAATAATATAATATATATATTTATAAGGAATTAAGTAATCTTAAGTAAAGTCTTACAGGACTTTATCATTTTACATTGTGTTATTATTTATTTTACCTAATTTGAACATCGGAGTACTTCTCCCACAACCAGGTTTATATTTTCCGTGTTCCTTGGTACATTCGGGTACAATTTATCCTATTAAGTCTCTAAAACCATAAAAGGCATATTCTGAGGAAACTGATACCTTCAAACCTTTGTTCAGAGACTGGAGCAAAGACAATTGATGATTGACTCTGATGATATAACTTATTGCTAAATTCAGTATCCAGTGATTTGTTAACCATCAAACAGGTAGTGGATACCCCTTGTTCATAGTGAAGGGTCTCAACATAACCTATTAGCATCTGTTGTGAACCAGACCTTTTCTAGCTACTCGTATCAAACACAGCAGTACATTAGTGGAACACTTACTCACTAGTCCTCTGCTCCTGTGCAGAAAGCCAAACTCCACCTCAGCAGCGTTACAACTATCACTTGCTCTCCTAGGGTTTGCTTTGCCTGGGCTCTAAGACAAATGATCAGATCCTTTTATTGCTAGCAAGATAATAATTGTTTTTAAAATAAATGTTGCTGAGAATAAAGAAAAACATGCCATGTTTCAGTTGTGTTGAATGACAAATCAAAAGAAACCCTGTATAAATACATAACAGAAGCTACTGGAACAGAAGATAGCTTCGAACGGTGAAAAGGTGAATAATTACTACATAAGTTTAAGAAAACATTAATGAACCAAAAATGTAATAAAGGTAATTTCTTTTGGTATAAAGAGAGACAAGTAGCTAATGGTTCAATACAAGTAGCTAGCTGGTAAGCAGAGCTACTGAAAGCCAGTCCATTTCAAGCTGCCATTTTTCCATAACGTTATTTGCACTATTTTCTTGAAGTGCATGACTTTGTTTTAGTTCATAAAAATCCAGGCATAGACGTATAGAAGGAAAGGAGGAGGTCAAGCATTTGTGTGCAGAAGATAAGTACAGTGCCAGTACAGCAGACAGCCTTTCTCCACAATGCTTTAAGTGCAGTGCACCAGCTTCAAGTACAAAACTCCCGCAGTAACCATGACTTGTCTTGATAGATCGACAGCAAGCAAAAGTATAGCTAATAGAACAAATTCTCTATCCATTCTACATGCAAACAAGGACAAGTGATTTACGCAGGAGGCAGCTGCTGGCCTTGTACACTCCAGAATTATGAAATCATTGAATTTGTGACGACAAATCGAAACACGGGAACAAGCAAATTCAATTTAGGCCATCATTTAAACCACTTGCACTCGTAAATTGTGCCCTTAATATCTAATTTTTTCTCTATATAGTCAATCCCGTACTTTAACTAGCCCAACAAACCGCAATTTGCCACATTGTAAAAAACAACACTTTGATCATTGTTAAAACAGTTATGTAATAGCGCTATTGCAGAGGAGGCATAGCTATAGTAAGAGAAATACTGGTGTAGTTAATAATGTTAATGTCCTGGTGTCCTGCATGCTGCCACTCTGGAGTGAATGGCTGACATGGAAGTGAGCCATCTGTAATGGTATTAGTCACAGCTGGGATTTTCCCAGTGATGGCTTCTTTGAAAATGATCTAAGAATGTAGTCAGAAGAAAAACAGGAGAGAAGCTTTGCAAAGATTTTAAACACTACTGCCAATCCAAAGTCTAAGAGCAATTGCTTTGCTTTGATTTCATTGGCTCGCCATCAGAGTTTAAGGCGATTTAAAAAAAAGTTGGTTAGTGACTTAGTGGTTAGAGAACTGATATTTCTTCCTCCTCCAAAAACAGATTTGAACAGTATGCCTGGCAAGACGTAAGATATGAATGTGTTGACAATGTTTACAACAAACATGTTTTACTTCCAGTTTGTCGTGGAGACCAACGGACGCCACTCACCCGCTGAGCACGACTATGAAGTCCATGACGTTCCAGCCGTTCCTCAGGTACGAGCCTTTATGGAAAACGAAACCAAGGGCCAGCAGCTTGATCCCCGCCTCGAAGCAGAAGATCCCGATGAAGTACGGCTCTGTCTTCTCCTGTGAAAATAAGGCACAAGCGTCAGTGTCAACAGAGACTGTAGAAAGTTAGTAACACCTCTATCCTGTTGAGTTTGACATGTTAATGAAGGCTTCACACATAAACAAGCATACTGTATATCAATATAGACTATATGTCAATTACAAACAGTCGAGGATGTGTGTGCAGCAGAAAATCAATGCTGTCAACTTTTATGTAAAATTATACCAAAGATTCTTATAAACCGATAATATTTTACATTTGAAATCTGAATAGTAGTCACAAGTAACTCTAGCATTAATAACAATCAAATGGAGTAAAATGTTAAATATTTCCCCAAAGGAGATATTGGAGTAGTCTCAAATATCTCTAAACTGTACTTTAAGCAAAGGAAGGCGACTTTAGAGACGTGTATCACGGACCTGCCTTCATCTGATTACTGCAGATTAAGTTACAAAACTTCATCTTCTCATAAACGTTTTGTCATTCTGGTTTTGTCTTGTGAACTTATTCATAATCCTATCAATGTGTGGAGGACGCGAGAAATGATTTGGTCCTCACCAGTCTCTTTGCCATGGGGGTCTTATCGTCTCCAGGGAGGTGCTGCTCCAGGGCCAGCACAACACAGTTAGCGGTGATGGTGGCCAGGATCATGTACTCAAATGGTGTAAGGGCCGCAAAGTTAAGGAAAGTACTTATTTCACAACAGAAAAACAAAAAGAAAACACAAACAAATGCTGATGTTGGAGATTAGCACAAAACAGATCCCATTGTAACATAATACATTCACCATACTCTAAATCAAAGTTAATATTTGTGTTATTCTTTATCCACATATATCGAGCATTCCTCCTCAATTCCACAAATACTTCAGACTCCAAGTGGTTCAGTGGAAACAAACCGAGATGGATGGATGATTAAATGACAGATGAATTATGGCATGGTTCATTTTCTCTGGTATTCAAGGCAATCTGTTGGAGAGATTTCAGTATCCATGGAAACCTGCTTTTAAAAGTGCTTTTCACAAAGAGGAAAAAAAAAAGAGACATGTTCGGGAGGGAGAGAGCGAAGTGAAGTCACCTTGGCCTGACTGGATTAAGTACACGTAATACAGCAAACACTCCTCATAACTCCTTACACTGCACACAGCCGACGGCACAGTACACTGAAGTGAGTGTTATACAATATCAGTGTATCACAAAGTATCGTCTCTTTGCTTCTCAAGAAGATCAGTCAAGGTTTCAGCTTGAACTGCTTGATATTGAGTTGATACGTCATCGTAGGATATAATAAACCAGACAGTTTAAACAAAGAATGAATGTAAATTCTCTATATTAAAACATTCAATTACAGTTAGAGTTATATGTTTTTATGACTGTATACATGATGTAATGCTGAATTCTTTCATCAGAAAGTCATTCATAAACGCTGCTTCTTTGTGCAATAGACCTCGGCAATTGGAGTAAGACTGTTAGTACAGGTACAAAACAAAAAATACTAAATTAAAGATGACACCTCAGGATGTGGTAAACTGTGATTTGTGATGTGTTTTTTTCTTCAAATTTCATAAAATTTGAATAACTGCACTGATTTTTAGAAGTTACAATTCTTAAACCGGGAGCTATTTTTCAGCTACATTGGTAATTTCTTCACGAGACTCCAAATATGTTACTCAAGTGTTCGACTGTTTTTTTGTTTGTTTGTTTTTTAGATCGTTAAAGTATAGATTATTTCTAGAAGCACTTGCATCATTTCTATAATTTATCAGGAGTAATGTTTAACTTAGATTTTCTCACAGCTAAGACCTTGTGTGTGTGTGAGTGTGTATGCATGCACATACCCTATGGATACAGTACATGTGTGAACTACAGTACATGTGCCCCAACACTTGTATGTGCTTGTGACTTTCGGTCCCCCGGAGTTCCCATGAGGCAGCTGCTCCTTGTTATTAATTTTCCTGCCTTCAGAGAAATAGGGTCACTGACTCACAGAGGAGTGCTCGATGAGGGCCTCTGGGACTCGCACTGACTCACATTGACAGGTCCACATTGTTGCCATTGAAGGCAGGTGAAAATAGCTGAAGTGGGAAATACTTAATAAATCTCACCCACTCTACCTGACCTTAACCTGTTACCTGCATGCCAGAGATTATGCATGCTGTAGAACATTTAGGAAAAGGGATGTTTGATATAATGTTTCATTATTAAAGATTAAATACAAGCTGCTACATTTGAAATTGACTTTGAAACTCTCCGAGGATGAGGAATCCATCACAGTCAATATCAAGTCACAGTTATTTAGCCTGAGTAATATATTTGATGGAGTGTGATGGATTGGGTAATTAATTAAGGCTTCACAACTTTGCGCTAATGTAAAAAAAGGAAAACAATGGCTGCCTGGGTGGTAGAAAACATACTTAAACATATGTTCAGCAGATATATGAAAGGCTGAAACTAATGACTAATCTCAGAATCCATGAGTCTGTTTTTACTTTCTAAATATATCTCTTTATCATTCATTTGAAATGTATACAACACCAATAATAGAAAAATATCCACCCTGGTTTCAAAGATTTAAAAGGTGACTCCTTCAGAAATCTTATGTCCAACCAAAAGTAAAAAACTAAATTCAACAGCGATATGCAACAAAAATAAGCACATTGGGAAGGCGCGACCAGATAATATTAGCTTGTTTCCTTTTAAAGAATCACTCAAATGGATTTATCAATTACCAAAAGACTTGCCTAATCATTTTGGGTCAAAGGAACACTGCTGTGGCCCTGGCACTTTACTCTCTGGTGCACTCTGGCCTACATTTGGCAACACAAGTCCCATCAACTCCTCAACCTGTGAGAAATATCATCCTCTAACAAATCAGAGTGTTCGTGCAGGAAACATACATTCAAAAAAACACAGCAGTAAATGCATCTGAGTCTCTTCTTCACTTGCTGTCTCATAAGTTGGACGCTCTGAGCGAAAACCTGGGTCTCAGCCAGTCAATACTCTGACATGTGCTGCTCCTACAGCCCACGATCCACCACATTACTACCGGCCAGCTCTCTCCCACATACCTCTGCCTCTGTGATACCGACAGTCACATTAGCAAGCTGCCAGTGGCAAGCTAGTCTTGACCACTAGCCCCACTCCCACACAACACACACAGAGCCTGTGGTTAGGTAACAGTAAGACTGGCATGCTGCACTGAAGGGGGAGTGAGACAGGAGGAGCAGTGGGCAGATATGGCAACTGAGTGATGTTGTTGAACTGATTAATGCTTTAAGGGGAGACACTACAGGTGAATACGGTGACAAATGTATCCAATAGAAATCAGCCCAACTGTTTCCTCGTTGAATACTTACATTTATATACGCATTCTTTTGTATTACAAGTCTGAGAAATAGTTAAATATTTGTAAATAAGACATTATCTTCAGGTGACAGACGATTTGTTATGGAAGTCAAATAACCCAAACTCTCAAAATTGACCATTGCATTTGCCAGTAGTGGGTCGCATGATGTCTAAGTATATAGACTACTGTTTAGGATATCACTTGATTAAAGTTAACCAAATTAACATAGGTGATCTTGTGTGTACCCAACAGAGACTTCAGATGTAAATGTCTTAATAGCTGAATCTGGCACATTTATATGATGGACTCAAGTGCTCATGTGCATTGTCCCTTGTTAAATACAAAAATACAAAAGATCAAGTATCACCAATGGATTATTTGTGTATGGCCTTAGTGATTGTGCCTGCACTGTGCCTTCACATTACATACATTCGGCTGCAGTTTCGGGAATGAATAAACTTCCCTGATAATCTTTGTGAGATCTGCAGAAGTTCAGGGGAGATAAACTGTTGGCCGGTGCTGCAGCAGGAAACTGAGAAAACGCTGCCTGGTGGAATTGAACTGACTCCTACTCACGGTCAGGTTCATATTCCAATGAGCACTAAGCAGAGATGTGCCTACATGCCACCCCCACAGCGAGGAGAGCTGCTTGTAATGATCACCACATGCTAACTTTCTGTCTTGTGCCAACACGGGAGCACATGAAGCCCACAGATGAATACAATTAGGGCAAAGTTACTAAGCACCATTTCAAGAGGAAGGTTCAATTCGGCTGTGCTAATGAATTAATCATCTGGTGATTCAACAAACAGCTGGAGATCATTATGCAGATAAGCAAACACTAAACAGAGAGGATGCAAGGCAAATATGTGAAGGAGTCATGCAAAAACACAATGGCTGTAAAAATGTACTTTTGTCACTTGTTAAACATTCAGGAGTTGTATTTTGATGCACAGGCTTCACGTGCTGCCTGAAACTGTCCATGGTGCTGAACACACAACATGCACTTTCTCTAAAAGCAACTTTAAACGTGTTTTTATGAAAGGATATGGCCATTCAATGAATCGCCTGGCGGTTCTCCTGATGAAGTTGTCCTCTGCAAATATGAAGAGCGACCTGTTGACGGTGAGGCAGTTCTGCCGGTGGGGCACGGGGTTGTACATAGCCATGGTCCGGGCCCGCTGCGCCTTGGCTTGCCTGATGGAGGCGGTGAGACTCTCGGCAGCCGCGTCCGCTCCTTCCCCGCCGAGCTCCGGGTCTCCATCCCCGGAGTCCACCGTGCTAGGAGCGCACTCATCTCCAAATCGAGCCATTCTACAAAGAGACGAGGAGACCGCTGGCTTAACAGTGTTTCACTACAGGACGACTTCTAGGATAGAAAAATTTGAAGTGGAGCTAAAGGGGAAAAAAAGGATCCACCTTCAATCCGGTGATTTTCGAGCGCGAAGAATCCCCAAAAGTTGCAAATTCCTATCACTCCATATCCACAAGAAAATTATATTATATCATTTAGTTGGTTTATATTCTAATCATCCATTCACTTATCGAATCAGGTGCACAATCTCATCATCCCATCTGTTAAACAGCGCGTCACAATCTGCTCTGAACAACTTTTTAATACGCGCGACTCTGAACTCTGCAGGTAACAATGGAAGAAAAAAAAATCCACCGAGTTTACACCTTTCAGTTTTGTCCTATCAACATCCAATCTCGTTTTGACCTAACAAAGCTGCTGATGCCTGATCAGAAACTACCCTGTGCTGTTGCAGAGATCCGAGGGAAGTCTTCGAAAACTTTACACATCTTCTGGTCCCGGTAAACTTGACAAAAGGAAGATTTCAGGAGAGAGGAAGCCCGTTTAACGCGACTAAAACCTAATATTAAAAAAACTTTAAAAAAAGTTATTCATAATAAGTCGATAATGTAGCGGCAGAGTCCTTTGCATCGCTCGATCATCTTACAATCGTTTCACCTGCTGGAAGAAAAAAAAACACGCAGCCAGGAGCGCATAAGCACAGTCAGACCCCTCCCACAGTAATAATTCATGATGGCGACTTCAAAATCCATCTGAATGAAAGCTGCTGGAGAGGAGGGACATATATGTTGTTACCATAGCAATTACAGTTTACTGAGAATGAACAAAAACAGTTTCACTAAAAAAAAAGACGCCTATATTCATGCTGTAGGCTATGGGTATGTGGTTCAAAATGATGTAAAGATGTTTGTGGGTGGCAAGAAAAGGGGTGTGAAAATAAATGTAATACTAAAAGGTGAAAGCAATGCACAGACTATGTTAAGTGTGTGGGTAGGGCAAGTGAGTAAAACTAATTATGTCAAAGGTGATTTTTAGAGAACAGGGGCTTGAATCATTTACCCCCATTTGGTATTGTCTGAAGGCATTGTCATATTTTCATTAATGGAGACATGGAAACATTTAAAAACTAGGCCATTGTGCTAATATTGGAGAAAAAGCCAGGAGTAAAAATAGAGCATGAAATAGATCTTAGGGCTGCTCCCTTTTTGAGGGAGCACAGAAGAAAGCAGGGTCTCGTTCTCACTCAGTGCCACAAGTGAGACCTCATTAGGAAACTGGGCTCTCTCGCTCCATCTGCTGCTCTCCTCCCTCTCCCACTGTGTCCTGAAGATGACCACTTCAGCCCCCACACAGCATTATTCAATCGTAGCTGAAGCTGCTGTTTCTCACATCAAAAACATGCAATTAAAACCAACTACGCCATCAATCCATGACAAAGAGAAGCTATGTGCCTCTGATTGACAGACTCCATGTGCAGCAGCACAATGCAGGTATCAGTGTGCAGACGGGCAGCGTGCGAGGGCTCAGACGGCGGGGACTGTGGAAGAAAGCCGAGAGAGAGTGACAAATTCATGCTTGGCAAACAAGTCGAGATCTGGGGGAGAAAAAAATCGATTTAACGGGATCTATGAATAACTGAGCTCCCAAAACTCAGCCATGGCTCCGTTACCTCCTCTGTCTAATCTGCATGAGGCAGGCGGGCGTGTCACTTCATGCAGAGCAGGAGAGCAACAAAAGGCTACGCTGACCTACCAGTGCAGGAAGTAAAAATAGCAAAGATGACAATTAGCATGTAATATGTCTGTTTGCTTTAATGCAGAGCTCTAACGTATACGTGCAACATATCTCCCGCTCATCCCTACTTTCTATGAAAACATGTTACATACGCATTCCTTATAAAAAATAAATCGAATTTTTGTTGCCCAACAAAAATATTTGTCCATCTTTGCAAACAGTTCCTGTGTGTGTATGTGTGTGTGTGTGTATCTTCTCTCTCTTTGCTGTTGTTTCCATAGCGACATAGCTCTCTTGAATTCCTACTCCGTTCTTTTCATTTCTGCCAACAAAAGCCATGTTGCACAATAGAGCAACCTCTTCCTACAGAAATCTGTTTCCCAGCATGCACACCAACACACACACACGCGCGCGCACACACACTGATACACTGATACACCCTCAGGGTCATTGGAAAGACAAGATGCAGCACCGTCACCACACCGATGATCCATTGTTCTATAAACGTGACCACATGTAGCCAGCTTTAAAAGTGTTTGGCTTTTGTTTTCTGCTCTTTCTCACAGCGTACTCAAAGGCTTCTACAAATAACTGTGTGAACAGATACAAAGCAGGACACCTCATATCAATTTGCCCGGGCTTGGCCAAACTTTGACACTAGCTGTAGAAGAAAAGGGTCACAGTTAGCTTATTAAGAGGTACATTAGTGCCCTTACTACAGAGAAATGAAAGGCAGAGTTTTTGGCGTTATCTTTTTATACCCATTGTGGAAACGTCTTAGGAGATATTGTGCAGCAGAAGACAGAGGAAGTGAGGCTGCAGGTTACATGCACGGTGAGTTAAAACGTTAATGGGCGTACTTTGTGCCAGAGCTCTGAAGAGCATTTATATAATTGCAGACAGGCTTTCATCCAGCATTGACTGGAGTGGTTTTAGCATTTTATTTTTCTCTCTGTTCCTTAGCAACAGACATCCTCTACTGAGTTATGTCAGTTTGATTCGACCAATAACCGCCACTTATATGAATGCAGATCGGCGTGACACCTTTACAGTTTGAAAGATATTATGAACATTATGGTTATATGAGAGAAATCTGACCACTTTGTCACCGGAAACAGCTCAAAATATAGCATTAGTGCACTCTAATACGTTTCTGTTGTGAGGAATTACCTTTTCTAAAGAGTCATATTATTTAAAAATGTTATATCACCTATTGATTTTGATCTTTTCTGAATTTGTCCTGAAACTTCACAAAATATCATCATCAATATTTCAGTTGTGTTGCAAAAACCAGCACTGTCCAAACTCATCTGCTGAGTGTAAAGATATCATATGCTGCTTCCCTGCTGCTCTTCTACTTTGATTCCCTAGCATCCCCTAATGGACAAATAACCACAATACATGCACAGCAGTTCTCTGAAATCAGCATTTACATTTTTTAAAGTTCCTTATTTAACATTTTGAACTTGCTTAAGTTGCTCATTCAGTTGGCAAATAAGTGGTTGAAAATAAGAGATTGTAGACATCACAGGGATACAAGACGAACACATGACGTTTGAGAAAAAGATGGAAAGACAAAGAGAGAATTACAGTGTATCAGTAAAGTGGATCTGGTGTGGGTGGTGGAGGTACAAAAAAAAATCTGAGGAAGGAGAAGGGGGGGGGGCTTGTTGGTGGGATGGGGGTTACAGTGATGGAGTACCACTCCGCATTCGAGTGGTGGGAAACAGCTAATCAGAGCGATGTGGCTTCAGAGAGCAAAAGTTCACAAGCAAGCACCCTCAGCCCGCCGTTAATAACACTTTCCAGTATCTGATTACAGTAAACCATGGCCAACAATGATACACCGGCATTAAAAGAAACATCAAATCAACGGTTGAGAGCAGTGGGAACAGATTTAGTGATTCATTTGTGGAACTATAACAATGCTGGAAACAAAAGAAACTGCATATTCTATTGGTATTACTATGGAGCAGGCAATTTGTAGCTCAGCAACAAAACAACAATGATAAGAATACTTAGTACAGTCCTTTATCACAGCAGCAACGTTTTTAGGAGTCGGTCCCCGTATTGTTAGTATCGCGTACACAGAAATAAGGATGCAAGTGTGTCATGTTATGACAATGGTTTCACGTTATTTGACTGATGGACAGTTAGTGGAAGTATCACCAAGAAATGCAGCAATGCACAACAAAGACAAGGGAATAGAAGACTGGTTACCCAACATGTATTTAAAAAAAATGCAGGTTTCTAATTTTGTTTAAAAGGTTGGTTCTTCACATTTTTTACGAGAGGGCCAATAAATTAGTTTATTTATATATTTGTCTGATATAGACAGTGGACGTTAATGATCATCCATATTCAAATACAAGATTTGAACATGAAGGCGTTAGCAAATATGCTCATTTAAAGCCAAAGTCCTGAGTCATGTACTATATCCAATCTATTTATGTATCGGGCCCAAAGGGAACATACTATACATTTTGGTGGGAAACCTTCATGAGAACAAAATAAAACTCAGTTTGTTTACACCTGTACAGGTTATCAACTTTGACCACTAGGGGAATAAAAAGCTCAAAGTCTGACATACTTCTGTTGTCTTTTGTTAACAGTAGAACAAACTGGTTGTAAACTTCTCGATCCATCTATGATTTAGTATAGAAGAAACATGGGGCTATATAATCCTGAAGCTTCTCCACTAGTTGCTAGCATAATTAAGATTTTAGCCATTTCATGATAAGTGCTTGCTCAGGTTTTTGCCTTTCATGTTAAAACAGTTTACATTAAATATAATGGCATTTGATGAGAGTCTCAAGAGTGGATGGGCTGGAGAACCAATGAATGAGCTAAACCTTTTATCTCATATGGTGTAATTAGATTATTTGTCTTATTAAAATGTAGTTTCAAAGTTAAACCTGCCTTCATGTATTCATTTTCTAACACTTAGGAAGAGTAGATTGAAACACAACTTCGACATTTTATAACCTTAAAACGTTGATATGGAGAGCGTGTTAACAAACGGTAGCTTATTTACCCATTTTGGGAGTGTTGGCACATTTTCTGACCACTTTAGGAATTGAAGTCACATTTACAGTAGTCTCTCCTTAAAGAGCAACTTCCAGGTTAAAGACACCTGTGAATAAATGTGTAGGAAAATGATGAATACACTAGATTTTCACAATACAGAAATATACACTACAGTGACATCTGGCGTCGTTTTTGCAAGACATTTTCACTTCTGCATAAAAAAGCCTCGGCACGTGACCTCCCGCGTGTGAAGTAACATGGGGGAAACAAGGGGGAGAGCGGCCGGTGTAACGTATTAATAAACATGGATCCCAATGCTAGTTTCGACACAGAAGAAGTTGAACATGAATATTCGAATGCATATGACGGACCACAACCTTATAATTATGAGCCTGCTAGGCGTCCAAGAGACCAGGAGCAGCCAAGGATTAGAAGAAATAACGGCCATCGGAGAGAAATTGAGCTGTGGTGTGAGGAGAACCAGTGGAGAACTGGGTAGCTATCTTGGTGAGTGACCGGCGTTAGCTACAGAATGTTAGCTAACGTGACATCACAACATTGTGAAGTTAGCTATCATATATCAGGCTATAACGAACGTAGCATTGATAATATAGTAACGTTACTGGCAGGACTGTTGATACTGATCCATAACAGAAACTAATGCGCAAGTATCCAGCCGTATCTCGCGTTACCTAATGCAACTCCACACTACGGTGCTGTGTACCGGAGGAGAGACTTGAGATACGGCTGATACTTGACGATCTGGCGGAGAAAGGTTGTGGAGCCTCCGTTGATATGCCGTTGTAAATGGCTTGATGGAAAGCAGGTGTGTAGTCGGGGAGGGTGCACAGCTACTGATTGCAGCAGGTGAGGTGGAGGTTGAGC